ACGTCAATAACTGTTGAGTGGCTTCCACTGAAGTTGGTCTACGTAGCACTATTCAGAGCTACCAGCCTAAATTTGCTGTCAAAGTAGATACTTTTTTTTTCATTTTTTGCAATCAACATTTTTCTGCTTCTCGTATTACACACACAAACGTCACCGTTCATCTACTGTGCAGAATTACGTCTTACCCAATATGGGATGATACCAAGCTTATATTTCGAGGCCCGTTTCTTTTGTTAAACTTTTTTTTGTTCTCCCACTGTCCGTTGCGCGTTGCACTCTCAGTGGCGCAGTGGAGTGTTTCACATCACACGATTTATTGAGCTTACAGAACCTTATCAAACACGTCACAGGAAATGTTCATTGCGAAGAGACATTCGCAATCATTCTCCAGACACAGGGCTCCCCACAGAGGAAGGGCTCGTGGTCTTCTGTTTCAAATTTGAGCAGTTTTTTTTTATTTTTGCATCAGCTAGTTGGCAGACGCGAATGTCACCGTGTGATCAGTGCGCCCCTCTTGTATTTTGCCGGCGTTTACGCAAACATGATAATGACCTCTTACATCTGTCACTGACACACAAATGCGGAAATTCCCAGCGTATCTCTTGTCACAGGACGTAAACCCAACAACTTTTGTTGCAGAAAAATGGCAGTAAAAAGCCTGTAAAGGAATTCAGTGTTTATGCTTGATCCACGTGTTAGCATCCACGTTGGGTCATCGTTCCCCAGTTTACTTGGTATCAGACACGAAGCAATTCATGATGTGCAGAACAATGGCAGTCGATAAAGCGCACGAAAAAGATATATATAACAACAAAGGTTCACTGCGGAATCATGTGCATAAAATGACCGCAAAAAATAGTTGCGTCCGTAGCAACTTGGGTAGGAGTTGATAGAAAATAGCGTTGGTTTAGTCAGCTTCGCTAAGGATGAATTTCATTCGACTCAAATAAAGCGCGCAGCTGCCAGTCGTTACTACGAGCGTATTTGGGTTTCCCCATTTTTCCTGCAGTGTCCGATCTTGGCATTTTTGAGGTTGAAAATAACGAAATAATTTAAGCTATCAAATCATCATACCTCCCCCAATAAAACGTTCGGCAGATTCCACGTACTTTGGAAATCGACGTTATGCGAAGCATGTGGAGGGAAGGTGACCATGTTGTAATTTAATGAAATAAAATGACGCTGAAATGTATTAAATGACGCGTGATGAAATGATGCTAAATATATGTACAAATTTTGCACTCACAGACATGTTTAACAGTTGCAAATGTTTATATAACCAGTTGTTTACACTTGTGCAATGGTGGCAACAGGAACGTCAGTATCAACAAAAACGCAAGATGATATGAAGAGCTAGTACTTGCGAGGATAATAGGCCTGCACACTGCAACATAAATAAAATTCTGTGCATGACACCTAACTACAACGGATGTTAAGACGACATGACGGCTATATCATAGAGGTGCATATGAAAGTTTATAATATGGAGTAAACAGCACTGCAGCCATAATTGACGTTTAACGAACGTTAGGGTCTATTTCAAAAGTGGTTCATGGACCTGGCGTGGCCCTGTAGCAGAATGCTTGATTGCCACGCAGGAAGCTATGGTTGATTCGTGTTGGAACCTTCACATGTATTCTATGCATTCGTCGGCTCAACGCGGCCGATTTCAGCTTTTTCTTAACGCTTCCGCCTTAAAAATACCCATCTCTGTTCTCGCAGTTCCTGGGCAGATAGTGAATGTCAGTCGCCTGGGGCACATACCCGCATACTAAAGGCAATTACCCACCTGCGGGTATGTGCCAGTGTGACGCGATGTGTTTGACGACGTATGTGACGGTATTGTGATATTATGCTTGTCTTGACGATCGCAACATATTTGTCAAACTATCTTATTATCCCATACTAATGTTCATTCACTACAGGTTGAGGGGTTGATACCGAGAGCACCCAAATAAGTGCCTAGAAAGATAGATACATAGACAGGAAGATAGATCTGAAAAGTGCTTGCAGTACGCTAAGAAAACTTCACGTTAAAAAATTAGCAGATTTCACATACAGTAGAAATCGATGATATGCGAAGCACAAATAAGGAAAGTTGATATGCCACATTAAAATGAGCAAAACAATACGAGGCGTAGGTAAATTATGTCATTCATGACTTCCATGTCATGATTATCATGCTTGGCCGTGCCGTTAACATGCGCCGTCTATTCCAGTCAGCTGGTACCACATTTGGTATATGTGGAGCTAATGATACGGCTACGAGCACTCTATGAGCATTGCATGTAGTCATGTATTACGTGACACGCGTATTGTGTTTACTATGTTTGGACGTGTCATTTACCATCGTCGTCTATTCACGTCACGTGATACTATATGTGCAGCTAGGAAAATTGCCACGAGCGTGCTATGTGCGTAGCATGTGGTCGAGTTGTAAATGACACGAATAGCATAATTATCATGTTAGAATGTCTCATTTAGCCTCGCTGTTTATTTACGTAGTGTAATACCGAACATGTGGAGCTAGCGAAATGGCAGTGAGCACTGTATGTGCATAGCATGTCATCATATTTTAAATGACACGAGTATTATGTTTACCATGATTGGACGATATTTAACTTCATCGTCTTTTCACGTCACGTGATAAAGAATTTGGTATATGTGGAGGTAGTGAAACGGGCACGAGCGCACTATAAGCGTAGCGTGTTGTCATGTTTTACATAACACGCATATCATGATTAGCATGTTAGTACGTGTTATTCACCTTGGTCGTTCATTCACGTTACGTGATATCAAACTTGGTATATGTCAAGCTAGCGAAACGGCTGTGAGGACGCTAAGAGCGTAGCATGTATTCTAATGTTACATGAGACGCATGTCATGATTATCATGTTTGGATGTGTCGTTTACCTCAGTCGTCTTTTCCCGTCACGCGATATCAAATTAGGTATATGTGGATCTAGCGAAACGGCCACGAGCGCGCTCGCTATGAGCGTAGCATGTAGTTATGATTTGCATGACAGGCATATCATATGATTAGCAGGTTAGGACATGTCATTTACTTTCGTCGTCGTTTCATGTCACGTGATATCAAATTTGGGACATGTCAAGCTAGGGAAACGGCTCCGAGCGCATCGTTAGCGTGGTATGTTGTCATGTTCTTGCATGATCCGCATGTCATGATTATCATCTTTGCAACAGTCATTTACCTTTGCCATGCATTCACGTCACGTAGTACAAAATTTGATATATGTGAAGCTAGCGAAACGCTCATAAGAGCATCATTTGCGCAGTGTGTACTTACGTTTTACATGAGAGGCATGCCATGATTATCAGGTTCGGAAGTGTCATTTACCTTCGTCGATCATTAATGTAACGTATTACCAAATTTGGTATAAGTGTAGCTAGCGAAATGATCGCGAGCGCATCATGAGCCTGGCATGTAGTCATGACTTACATGACATGCGTGTCATGATTTCCGCCCTATGGTCTGTCGCCTATGTTCACCATGCAGTCATGTCATACCATACCAGTTTTTCAAGATGTAGTATGAACGAAACCACCACAAGAGACGCAAGGCCATGAAATGTAAATCAAAATATTCATGACATAAACATCTTGATTTTCATGTTATGACTAGTCACTTATGCCCGTGATGCAGTCATGTCATGCCATCAATATCGGTATCGATACCATTATCGAAACCACAAGGAGAGCTTAGATAGATAGATAGATAAATAGATAGATAGATAGATAGATAGATAGATAGATAGATAGATAGATAGATAGATAGATAGATAGATACGCTCAATTTCACCAAATATTGCCGAAATTTGCTAAAAAATGTTTAGCAATTAAAAAAAGGTAGTTTTCGAGCATGCGGAAACAATAGGCAAGTCTGGCGGTGCGAAGTAAAGTGGCAGAGGCGTTGACAGGCATTGTCTGAATGCCAGAATTGTGATGCCTTTGAATATTGTTTCTCCTCAAGTTAACAAATATATCTTGCAAACTTCAGCAAGTTGTGTTCCTAGTTTAGATTTTCTTCCCGTCTTTCCGACCTAATACCTTATTTTCTACTTTTTAACCATGTGACACTATCTAACTAACTTAAAGCCGAAGGCTCTAAGTCTTTTTTTTTTTTTTAGAATCGCTAGAAACTCTTTTTTATCTGGAACTAAGACGTAGTACTGACAGTAAACGACAGGCGAGGACAGAAACAATATGGCTTATATTAAAATAATGAAATCTGTTCGTAATCACTGACTCATGACGTAATTCAAGAAGAAAAATGTGATGGCTTTTCTGTTTTAGGAAGCTGATATGTTGCTTTGTCCTCAATTTCACATTTATATCCTGTATGCTTTTATCCTTCGGTTTCGACAATTTAGTTCGGCGATATCCGACATCATCGATCCCGAATTCTATTCTGCTATCAATTTTGTTGTATTGGCTAGCGAGTTACGCTGCTTTGTTATTTGCCCATTTATGTGGTTTCCTAGCCTCGCCCTTCTGTAATACTTTGCTCTTAGGGGTACAGTAAGATGTAAATTATGTTAGCTAGGATGAGCAAGACCACTGCCATAAAATATAGTTTTTGCGTACCCACGCAGGGCGAAGAATAGGTATAACACAAAGCTAAAAATTTTGTTTGGTGAGAGTGAGTAAATATGTCAGATGCACTTTATTAGGAAAGTGATCACTAGACAATTTCTATATACTACATTCAATCGGAAATAATTAGACAATATAATCCACGTTATTGTGAGGTTTGAACATCAAACACCCTGTGCCAAGAAAGTCTGTGGAGCTCAGCTCTTAAGATTTCTTAATTATAAAGAAATTTTCTTCATATAGCCAAAATACCTGTTAATGTAGTTTTCAGGAGTTTTTCTAGTAGCCATAGGTTCTCTCAGTGCTTTTGCAGATAAGTTTTACACTTTGCAGAATGGCAAAGCACCGCATACGAGAGGTTAACTCAGTGCGTCTCGACTGTGCAGCTCTAGATCCGGCTGGACCTCTCTTCGAGGAGAGCGATGTCCACGTGAGCACGGCGGATGCGAACTTCGTGGACATCATCCACACCAGTTACGGGTGGAATGTGCTCAAGGGGGACCTCGGCATGCAGACTGCCGCCGGCCACGTGGACTTTTATCCCAATTTCCATCAAAGGCAACCTGGTTGCGACACTTTTAGTACGTGTACAGCGATCTAGCGATATTGTGCATGCCAGAGCAATATTCTTATCACCACGCATCCCTTATTCCGATCGCACCAGCGGGGTCACGTTCACCGCGATGAGTGGCGCAAGAACGTTTGTGCCGAACTTCGGGTCTGGTCGAGTAACTCGCTTCGCTTCAGCGGTGCGGTGGCATTCAGTTTATATTAACGCTCGCAAACGGAGACAGGCAAGTGACCTACCCTTGCGGAAGTGATAGAAATGGCAGATGCTGATTCATTTGTAGGCTTACGCCACAGGAGCGAAAGAAAAGACGCTGAATGACAATTGACGCCAGCAGGTAAACGCGAGCCTTGGCTTCACGTGCCAGTGCCAAGCGCTGTCTTTGTTTTCTTCGTTTTGCGGTCGTGCGATCTCCGTTTTTCGCACCGTTCAAATAATGGCGCTACATATTTGTTCTTGCTGCTTGCGAAAAGGTGGCAACAAACAAAAAAACGCTAGAAAATGAGGAAGACACTCTTATTGGTAGTCATTCACCAATCTTGATCAGGTTTGCTGGTAAGAAAAAAAGTTAACATCTAGAGACTGCAGTAAGTAAGCTTTTTTTTCGTCAATATTGCAAAAAAATAGAAAAAGTTCAAGAAACTCTAACATTGAGTGAAGAACTCTGTAACTAACACTAAATAATTGTAGCCTATTTCTGCAAAGTTCACCTGAAGTTGCGTAAAGCGCAGTTAAACTGGTTTTCTATGCATCGCTCTAAAATATAGCACTAAGTTGTCTTCATCTATTCACCTAAACACTGTAACAATCTCATCTGATTTGTAAACTATTAACAAAAATCTTCTCTGGAAGATTTCGTTGAGAAAATTGTGGCAAATGTTTGGCGTGAGATTTTAGATTTCTAAGCATCCGGCTACTATTTCTTCTAACTTACTGTTCTTTAGAGAATTTAAGGTTCTGAATTAACTTTTCTGCTTCTTGGAGTGGGCAGGATCGACTTCATTTTACTGGCAAAGCAGTCATTCAATGCGGTTCAACAGTTAACACATTTGAGTTCCACCGCATTTGACGTGTGTTTGAGTACGGATATTGTAGCGGTCCTCCATGTATATGGTGTAAACTGTAAACAGTGTAACTATAAATCAAGGAAGAGACCCAAGCCTTGTCATGGAGAATTTACCACTGCACTCGTCCATTTAAGCTTACGGAGAAATTAGAGATAACCTAAATTCACGAATATATATTCTTTTTTTTTCAGCAAGCGTGTCATTCATACAATAAGGCTCTCGATTTTTTTATTGGTTCCCCCAATTTACTATGTAAGCTAATACGACTGCCGTCAAACAGCTGATGCGCCACTTTTGTTTTGCTTCAGGTCTTTCATGCCGTCACCGTAGGGCGCACATATATTTTGTCGAATCCCTCCTGAATGAAGCATGCAAGTTTGTGTCCACTTCATGCCGGCCGAATGTTACCGACCCACGATGTGACCAACTTCCCAGGGGCGAAATGGGCTACGACAGCGAAAATGCAGGTGGACGTGGTGAACAATTCCTGACAACGAACAGCGAACCACCTTTTTGTCGGCCAGAGGAGCCGGACAGTGAACTTCCCCGGCGGCTACGCCAAACAGCAGCCTCAATAAAACGATAATAAATCAATGTCGTGGCCGTATTGTAACGAGTTCATGAGTTTGCTTCACGAAGCATTTTGAAACATTGACAACATCTTTTATGCTTGTTCAATGTATCGCGTGTGACTTCTCGGCGGGATAACGAAGGCAAGATAGCGAGAAGTTCCACGAGAACTGTCGACGCAAATGAGACAGCGCCTTTAATCTAGGACGTCTTCCTGAAAGCAGGCTACGAACATCACCCATAAGTGAGCGAAAATTCATCACCCATAAGTAAGCGAAACGTACTCACTCATGAAGTTTATTTCACGCTAATGGCCTACTCACACAAACACTCACCGAAAAATTTCTCAGCTGGACTCACTTGAACTCAAATTCAACAAACATTACTCACTCGAACTTTCTGAGGCTGAGAATCACGACTCGATCTGAGTCCGAGTGAGTCTGAGAGAGTCGACTTAAAAGACTGTTGCCGATAATCAGCTTGTTCGACCATGGTGTCAATGTTCTTTAACACATATATCTCACGTATTCAGCGCTCTTCTTGTCGTCTTTTTATATAGTACTTTCAAATGCGAGATATGAGTAGTTGCAAACAAGTAAATGTATTTTCGAAAGCAATTAGAACATAAGATATAATCATCAAAAACATTCATGGAAGACTTGGCTGGGGAAGGGGCGGTCAAGACACCCCCCTTGGTAATGCAAACCTCTAATCAATAAATATTGAAATGGTGTGTCAACGGTACTGATCTAGAATACTTGTTAATAAACATGAGTGTAAACACGAATCTCGGTAAGTTTGATAGTAATGCTGAAGATGAGTAGAGAGGATCTTATGTCGGAAAAAAAAAGACCGCTGTGGTAGCTCAGTGGTTAGAGCGTCGAACGCGTTATATGTCGGAAAAAAAAAGTAGAACTCACACAGGCTGACTCAACAAATATATCTTGCGCTTTGGACTCACTTGAACTCACACTCACGATTTTTTTCCACCAGACTCACTCATACTCAAACTCACCAAAATATTACTCACTCCTACTCTTCACTAAAACTTAGACTCACGGCTTGATCTGAGACTGTGGTGAGTAGGAGTGAGTCAACACATGAGTGAGTTCACCGATCTATGCTGTCATCAAATCAGTTACGGGTTAACTTGCGCAGAAAGTTATGCCAAGTGATTCGAGATTTGATATGTCAGTGCCGCAAGAAAAAATACAAGGACACAAAATTCTGAACCAGTATTAGAATTGCAACCACCTTTCTATTTTCCGGTTGTAGTAACGCGTCTTACTAAAAATGTACTCTATCTACACCATGTACCCTGAAAGATTGCCTCTTACCGATTAAACACTAGCTCATGAAATCAGTTTATAGGGTGCAACTGAAAACAGCCAAAAAATTTGGCAGCATCACATGCGTGACACTTTCATCAGCGCTCAGTGTTTTCACATGTTTTGGCAACCATGCAAATTTAGTAGCAGCAATATCCAAGCTCATTTGCAATTTGAAGGAGCCAGAAATTCGATTGAGTGATCCTGGACCTTTCAAACATTTTTGAATTGTTTTGTTTATATGGAAGTGTTTATTGCTACGGTCATGTGATTTTAACCGCCAATTGAAGGGCACATGCATAAAAACCTTGGAGCTTTTCATGTCAGTTATTTAAAAAAAGGAACAAATGAGTTGGACATTGTAACAAAGTATTGCTATTGACTCATGGTTGTACGGGGTCATAATAAGACTTGTTGCTTGCAAAGACTTTCATTCTGTGCAAGTAGTGAATTTTATTCCCTTATAAAAGTAACGAAATAAAATTACGCGTGCAATTTTGTAGGTTCTCTAATTTGTGTCTTTCGTATGAGCTGCTTCCTGAAAGTCTGTACAATTATTCTTGAGAAAAGGTGAACATTCCTAACGAAGGAAACACAAGTAATTGGTTCACTCCCGAACAAAAGAAAGTGCTGTGTGGGGAAGATAACTTAACGTATGATCGTTGGCCGTATGGAGTTATATCTTGATTACTACAAGGTCTATACACTTACCTGACTGGTTTCCGTCATGACCGTTCATGCATAATATTAGGGGATTTTGTTACGTACGTCCAACAGCAATGATAATCAAAACAATTGTCTTCAGTTCTTCTTGGATGTGAAACGCTCATACGGTAACTTACTGCATGAGACCATTCTCTATGCACTTGAGGTGGTAAACCTTCGGGGTCAAATTTAGGATGCAAAGGAGCTCTTTGACTCACGTGTGTAACTCCGTACGTACGTGCGGCCGTACGAACGCGCCGCCGCGCGTTCCCCTCGGTGCAGGTGTTAGAGTGGTGCCAAGCAGGTGACGTCGCAGCTGCGCGTTCATGTCACGTTCCCCTCGCAGGTGCGCGCTCACGTCCCTCTCTTCCTCACCAGCAGCACGCTCACCGCAGTCCCCACAGCTGCCGGCTCCTACAGTTACTGTATATGCTACCTTTAGGTAGCAGAGTTGCGCCAAGGTACGCCATCTTGGGTTCAAAAGTCTTGCGGAAAAGCGACTCACCACACGCGTAGGAGCAGCGCTCGCGCTTCGGAGTACTAACATTGCTTTATTTTTTTCGCTTTCTTTTTATTTTTTATGATAGAGGAGGGGGCAGAACCCGCATTTAGACTCGTCGAGCGTCTTTGTGGGACGCGCCCAGTGTCTGTGAAGGACGCACTCGGTGTGTGCGCGAAGGGCGCCAGCACGCTCATAATATTGCAAAGCATCGGCGTCGTCTGCGTAGGGTTGGCTTCTCCGCAGTGCATTTGAACGACCTATGACCACGTGATGGCGTGTGACCAATAGCGTTGCTGGAATCGTCAAAAGCCGGGTGAGCAGCTCCCGAAAAACAGTGGCGCAACTGTGCTACCTAAAGGTAGCATATACAGTAACTCTACCAGCTCCAACGCCCGCTCGCAACACACTTCTCTCTTGCTTCAATCTCTCAACCACCCTCAAAGCTGGACCACACGTCGAGTCGAAACACTTTTTAGACTCCTTTATCTGCGATAAAACTTACACGAAACCCAATTTGCTTCCCATGTCTTTGCATTTCAAACAAACGTGTACTCGAGTAAACGCTACAACGTGTTTCGCTTCAAACCCTTCTCCCAGCACCCGCGTCGACGCTCATTTCAACCGGGTCAACGGCGTGCGCACCGCTGCTGCTACGCATCCCATGGTTCCTTTCGCGATTATGCTCCATTTATTATTTTTTTGAAAGAGTCAAGTTCATTTTAAATGAGTCTGAGGAAAATACTGACTATATGACCAAGCCTGCTCGTACATTTTTTCTGCCAGTGCGCTTGTCTCACCAAAATGCCTCAAGCCTACATGTAGCTTAAAAGCTACAAAATCCACTGTCACCGCTACACAGCCTTAAATTTTGTATATGGCTCGTATCTTCAGTCCAAAGAAGAGTATTTTGGTCAACTTATTTCAAACTTCATTATTTTGCTCTTTAGTTTGTATAAAAATGGGGAAAAATGATTTCGAATGTGCAATGAAAAAATACTAGCGAAATTGGGATATTCCCCGACGGAGCCTTGCGGTCCCAATGGGGTACTGATACCTTTTTTTCGGAGGCAACTTTTCTATTCCATACAATATCTCCCGTATACATAGACGGCTCTGAACACGTATGACACTCAGCAAATTCTGATAAGATATTTTATTTAGATCTTAAATATTTCTCGCGGCGCACCTGCTGACATCAACACTAACTTGACGTCAGGCACCAAAACACAAAAATGGCACTTCCGCGTCCACCCTCTCGGTCATCTCTTCACGCCGTGCGGTCATGCGGTCAGTGTCATCCAGCGAACCTGAGAAGTGAGCTTGCGGAGTTTGGAATATGGTGCACGTGTATGCGTTCGAATACAATACCTATGCTCATCAGACAGCAAAAAATTATTTGATTTCCAATTTGTCACCATGGCAACAATTTTTGCCCTATGAATTGGCTTGCACCAGTGAAACGGGAGACAATAGATACAAGTTCCATCGGTTCCAGTCCGATCCGACGCTAAGACATGCGTGGGTCGACCTTGTGCACCGTGGCCGAGGCTAGACTGGATGCCAACCTAGCGGAGTTTACTCTGTTTGCTTTACACATAACATCCATGCAGTGGTTGACCAACTTCGGATTGTCGGTGAAGAAACTACGCCTTAAGAAGCGTTGTACAAATGGTGCGATTCGGCTCGTGATTAGGCGTGCGACGCACGATGAGTCACAACACTTGGGGAGAACGAGCTATCAGTGCTCGGTCTCCGTTAACATACGGCACCTCAGCTTGCACACTCTGAATACATCTTATCCTCTTTATTGCGCACAAAATAAACAAGCTCACACAGTTATACTTCATTGTCAAATAACATTGTCAACAAAGCTACGTCTTCGCGAGCGACATACATCGCCACTGCCCACATTTATTTTCGACTCCGAGCGTAGGCCTAGCAAGGCCGACGTACTCGCTAGCGCCACTCGCTTTCCAACATGAGCTCATTGTTCAGCGCTTCTTCTTTCCAACGCGATCAAAACTTATACACTTATATGACGCTTTTACACGTGCAACTGGTTTTTTCGACGGCCTCACTCTACGAAGCAAAGGGGGAACGAAGCAGGCCGGTTCGCCGAGAGGGTCGGTGTCATTGTTTGTTTCTCTGCGAAATGACCTGTCTTCGCGGCTCGATATCTCGTTGCTGGAGCGGAAACGAATTTCGCCTTGCATAAATAGCACACTTCAAGCATCACTTTATTCAATCATCGGTTATTTAGCGTCATAAACAGTTTATCCAATGCTGGCTTTCCTGTTTCAACCCTCTCGTCTATTTGCCCAAGACTGCTCAAATCATTGAACTTGCCCACTTCTCGGCGGGGGCAGTACACCAACACCACCATTAAACCAAAAATGTTGCTGTGCTGCCATATACAATGAGCTTTCACATAAGCTCAAAAATATTCAAGCTGTTTGACATAAACGTTGTTAGTTCTGCACATGTCAAGGTCATGGAGGAATA